GCGCGTGGGGAGCGCCCCCAAGGAGAGGTGTGGTCAAGGCCGGGGGCCCCGGTCAAGTGTCCTGGGTCATCTGTCTTATGGTTTCGAGCGCTGGTCGCGGGTCCCTAGCAGTGGAGACGCGGGAAGGTTACCCTTGTTCCTCAGATCGCTCGGCATACGCTATTAACCGTCGCCCCCGACGGGATGGAGCTGGCTTTCTCTGAAAAAAGTAGACCAGAGGCAAAGACAGGGCGAGAGACAGGAGGGCAAACAGGGGGGGGGAGTTATGTTATAGCAGGGACCGTAAGATATAATCAAAATATATCAGATTGCAAAGATTGTTATTACAAATATTTTCATGAATTTTCAATTTTTATTATATTTTTTTCCAATAATTCACTGTCCAAGGATAGACAGAGGAACATGCTTAGGGAGACAATTGCAATAGTCCGCGAGGACTTGCTTGAGTTGCAATTGCCTCAGATAGCAGGAGACGAAATTCTACAAGAGATAAGCATTTTGCAGAACTACAAAGGTAGCAAAAGGTGTCGCTGTCCGCAAGGACTTGTCTTGAACGACGACTTCCTTGGAAAAAAGAAAAAAATGCAACAATGCAGATTTCAGAAGTGTGCAGTGCAATAGTGCATACGGGATACGTCTGACTAATAGTAAATGTATCTCATTTCAACGAAGTTGTCTATAACACGTCGCCAACAACAATTTGAGGCAAAGCAATAATGAAAACAGGTAATGCAGTCCTCATACTTCGGGAGCGACTCATTACATTCATTACTCATTACTCAATTTTCAGGACAACGTATGCACGATAAAACGTATTGCAAGACAAGAATACACGGTTGGCACAAGTCGGTTATCTTCCGGAAACAGTATGCATGTAATTCTTGTGCAATTAACGGGTTTCTGCGAGACGATGTGCGCATGTGGCTATGTGAGTGCGTAGACGAGTTGATTAATTTAATGAGTGGGAGTTATGGAATGAGTAGTCAGAGTATAGCACACGAGAAGAACATAGAATGTTGATAGATATATTTTAGTTTTTAGAGTCATTAGTAATGTGTTAAAGTAAGGGCGAGAGTGGGTAAGAAAGGAATAGGATGGCGTGGAAGTTGGAAGAAATAAGCGAATGGGAGGAGGAGTGGGTGGGCGGGAGGCTAAGGGAAGGATGGGGTGGGGTGGGGTGTAAAAGAGATATGGGTGAGGATGGGGGTGGGGTTAGGTATGTAGGCAGGGGTGGCAATGTGGATTGCTCCTAATGAAAATAATCACGATCTGACTGCATGAAAAAATAACATTCACACTAATAACAATGAACTTACCTTAATTTCAGTATTGATCAACTACTATGCGAAATCATAACAATGGTACTGTAATTAGTACATAAAATGAATGAAACGGTGACTGGTTTTGGTCAGCTTCCCTGAGAAGTCTGACAGTTAAATGACAACCCTCGTGGTTGTAAATGATACTTAAAATAAATTCCCTGAGGAAGGTGATGACGTGATGACCCAACCGTAGAAGGGACACATCATCCAATCATACGCAGAACGCAATTGGGTACTTATCTTCTTGGGGAATACCAGCGATAATCTCACGTATAGCGATAAGAAGGCGTGGCGCTGAGATCGCCTGGGCGATAGGTGTGCAACTCGGCACATGAGAACAATTTAACATTAATTACCTTAACCTAATTACATGCCCATACCCAGCTGGAGGTCGTCACCAAGGACTATGTAATAATGATGAGGTGAGGTTCGTGATTAAGATCATGAAAGCGAAAATCACGAACAATATGAAATCGTAGTAGCTGTTTAATATAATTAATCTCTAACATGGAGATCATTGAATAAAATAAGATATAAATACAGATAGCTTGAATGTATTTTTGGGTCGAGCACAGTCAGATGGCTATAAGTACAATCTACCTGAGTAAGGTCAAATGAGGTCGTTATGCGGACATTCGTTAAAAATAGCAAGAGCTAGTATATGTAAAATTAAATATTGTGAAAAAACAAGTACACAATAATCAAGAAATTAAATAATCAAATTGCCAATAAATGACCATGAATAATTAAAGAAAAAATATATCTATAAAGAAGACGAATAATTACGGCGAAACATACTTTGGAATATGCACAAATATACTATAATAATAAAATCATACGATTTAATTCGATGAATTATGCTAGTATTATTACAGTTTCCAATATATTAATGCAAACCGGAAGTAAATTCATCACTCTATCGTAAATACGTTGATAACGGGATAATGATAAAATCACAATGTTATAGGACCTGACCTGATTTCACCTGAACAACCATGAGTGAGGTCATTCGCACTATAAAACGAATATAACACTTTATGCATAAAAATACTGAAGTCGATATTCATATAAACACAAATTAACAAGGTACACTTTTCTTGTATAAATATAGATACGAAAAGAAAAAATATAAAACGTTATCACTAAAAAGATAATTCAACGCTAGTGGCCTGAACAGAAATATTGAAAGTAGGTAGAGAGGGAGGGGGTGATTAACGGGCGGGGGTTAAGGATGACGGGGGATGGGGGTAGGTGGGAAACGTGGGTGAAATGTTTGTTTGTGCATAATTCAAATAAATCATTTAAATATTCCAAAATATCCCACAGTTGCATAGTTAAACCGAGCCTAAATAAATGCACTTAGTAATGATATGCGAACTGAACGTCGATATGGCGTCGGTTAACGTAGTGAGATATAATGAGAATAAAAAAAATGTCGAGAATATGGCAATGCATAGGACAAGTCACTTGACCTAGAATGTCCGTAGAAATAGATAACAATTTAGAAGAAATGCACGATCTATTTCTCCCACATAAATGAAAGATTTAAGCATTATTAACGATTTATGCTAATTAGGCAAGCATGAGAGTTATATTAAAGGGGAAAAAACACGCAAAAGAAAATGCACTCTCGCAAGTGAAAAAAAAAACATGGTAGATAACAGAAAGACGGGAAGAAAATGCACTGTGCACGAACACTATAGATAGTTGAGGGAAAAAATCACCGCACGAACACTTTAGATATTTGAGGAAAAAATCACTGCACGGACACTTGTTCAGATATTTGAAAAAAAAAAAAATCACTGCACTTTGTGAAAAAACAGCATGCACACATAGGCGAAGAAAGGGGAAAGAAAAGGAAATTGCCAATGGTGTACTTACAGTTTTTCGGAGGCTTGTTCGTGTCATTGCGCCGCTTGCCACCAGTTGTCAGGGGTTTTCTGTTGCCCTGATTTGGTGGGTTCATGGAGACACAATTCTGGTTCAGCTGTTTTTTGATAGGAGGTAGCGTGGTGTTGTAGGCAAGGAAACCCAAGAGGGGCCGAGCGGGGCGTGCGTGGAGCGCCCCCAAGGAGAGGTGGGGTCAGGGCCGGGGGCCCTGGTCAAGTGTCCTGGGTCAACTGTCTTGTGGTTTCGAGCGCTGGTCGCGGGTCCCTAGCAGTGGAGACGCGGGAAGGAAACCCTTATGCCTCAGACTCTCTCTCTCTCTCTCTATCTCTCTCTCTCTCCTCTCTCTCTTCTCTCTCTCTCTCTCTCTCTCTCTCTCTCTCTCTCTCTCTCTCTCTCTCTCTTTCTTTCTTTTTTCTTCTTTCCTTCTTTCTCTCTCTTCTCTCCTCTCTCTCTCTCTTATCTCTCTCTCTCTCTCTCTCTCTCTCTCTCTCATCTCTCCCTCCTCTCTTCTCTCTCTCTCTCTCTCTCTCTCCTCTCTCTCCTCTCTCTTCTCTTCACTCACTCTCTCTTTCACCACTCACTCTCTCTCTCTTTCACTCACTCTCTTCTATCACTCTTTTTCACATCTCCTTTTCTCTCCTCTCCTCTGTCTCTTTTCTTTTCTTTTCCTTTCTTCTTTCTTTCTTT